GATTGCTGCATTATCTTCTAACGACCTGATATTCCATAGTAGTAGTTACTGTTACATTGACAAGTATCAATTTGAAATGTGTATCCTGGAGGGCAGTGATATAGCGTGATATTGATCAGTTTTCTAGCACTGTACTCAGTTGTCTGCAGTAATAGAGTAGCTGTATCTCCTACTGTTCCTTTAAAGACTATTATGTAATTGTCAGCAATGGAATGAGTTATATCGATCTTCAATGATGGATTGTGTACATTTCGTAGTGTTGCTAACATTGGGAACAATTGTAAGTTTGTTATATTATTATCAAACTCATCCATTTGTGTAATAGTCATGTTGTATGGTATTCCAGGATAAGGAACTAGCTCTTTCTCATTTATTGACAGTTTAACTGGTGCAGTAGCAACTGGAGGTGGTGTCCATGATGAAAATTCAAATTTGCCCATTTTGTTATCTGTGAATAATGTCCAAGTATTCTCTTTATACAATTTAACACAATCTTGAAGTGTAAATGCAAAAATACCATGACCAAATCCACTGGTGGCAATGTTGTTAGTAAAATGGAATGTAACATTATCACCAGGTAGAAAAATGAAGCATGTTCCTTCATGTATATTAATCAGTGATTGAATGTATATTGCACCACCAATGAGAGCTTTATTATTTGATATATTTATTGAAGATGAACTATGCTTTGAAAATGTCATTACTGAGTCTTCTGCCAAAAATATAGCACCACCTTGATTCCCAGTATTATTATAAAATTTAATGTGGGCACCATGCGAAATATGTACACGACTATTTACTGCATATAAAGCAGTACCAGTATTATTGACAAATGAAATTTTTGTAATCAATTCAACAAAAGCATCAGCAACACATAATGTTGCTTTAAACAGTTTACCTCTAAGTTCTTGTTGATTGTTATCTATTCCTGCCATATTACCAATGAAATGAAGCACCATGGTGCGTGGACTCGCCTGCTGAGATTCACCTGAGGGATAATGTGTTACTTGTACTGCATCCATTATGATATTATATATATAAACAACTTGATATTTGAAAAAAAGGATAATAGATTTTGACAAAGTGCAAAGTGCAACAATGCAATTACTGCACTGATCCATAAAATAAATTTTAGGTGTGGTCAGCAGTGCAGTGCAGATAAACATGGCACGTGGGTAGGAGAAAGAAGAAAAGCTGAAATTTATTTTAGCATCTGAAGCTCTATTCAAAGAAGGAGTAAGCACAAAAAATTTGCCTAGATATTTAAAAGAGACTGAGATAGTTTAGTTGCTCCTGCTTTCCCCAGTGCTGCCTGAAAATTCTTCGAAGAGGCTAAATCACAAACTTTGAGCAACTGTAACTCGCAAACAAAAAAGAGATTAGAAAATTCCCACATATTTTTTAATCTATGTACTTTTCTCTACCTATCAATGCTAATCTTGACCAAATAGAGTGAAACACGAAGATTTGGCTAGGAAAAGTGGTCTATTCTTGAAAATATTCGGCTTTTGCTACCACGGATTGCTATGAAAACACAACGAAGCTAAATAAATTATCTTTTTCTCAAAGCTTAAAAAGAATTATAAGTCAGGAGAGCTCAGTAAAAAAGATATTGACTAGGAATTAACAGGAATTTTCGTGACAGAATGACAGAATGACAACCCAACTGCATAGTACCCGCCTACGCAAGCGTGGCGAGTCCAACGAGTGCACTATAGCACATGCCCTCGCCACAACCAGTGAAGTGTAACACAACAAAAGTGAAACAGTAATGGTTTTTTCAAGAAAAATTTGAAGGAATGTTGCTGACTTTCTGTTTAGCTACCTTGCTGCTGCAGCAATTAAAGGTGTGGCTGGAATGAAAGGTGTGGCTCAGCTCAATCAAAAATATGCACCACCCAGTTTAGTAAAATGGTGCCATGTGGCCTTACTGTGGGCAGAAAGCTTTAGTTTTTCTAGGCATGCACACAGTTTTACACAGATTTGTTAGGCTCTACTTGTTTCATGCAATTACTATATCCGGTTTCTTCAGTTTCGAGGCAGTAGCCACCTTCTCAGAGAGGAGCTGCAGCTGCTATGCTACAAAATGGCTGGTAAGTCACACTTAAGCTGTCATATCTCACAAACGAAGGAAAGTCAAGCAATTCCACACATATTTTTTGTTCTTTATGTTTTCCTTTACCTGTTGTTGCCTTCAAAGGTACCATAGCTTCAACTATGCAAAAGTTACTAGTTAACTTTTTCTGTTTTTAAACGCTGCCGACTTTTGCCACCTTGGAAAAGAACAAAAGAATCTATTATAGAAAAAGAACAACTTTTTCTGTACCTAATTGGCAAAAGAAATGCTCTGAAGAGCTTGACTAAAAAGTAGCATCAGCCAAAAAATCATCCATGATTGAAATTTTTGCTAACACACAAACACACACACTGACAGCACGAGCGCAGTACCCTCGCCTATAGACTACGCCTACGGCGTGGGCGAGGGCAATAACAATTTTCAAGTCTTATAACAGTTGCAAGACACTTATAAATTTTTTGACTTCTACCACTGATATCTAATGCTGAGCTAACCTCAGCTTTGTTGCCAGTAAAATGACAAAATTCAAAATAAAATTCCTTTCTCTTAGCATCACTAGGGGCTGAATGAACAATTTGGATTGCAACTCCTCCACCAAACTTTGCTTGGTTATTGGTGATGTTACAACTTGATAAAGTAACCAAAAATTCAAATAGTATGGTGCCATTGGAATTGCATTTGCTCATATGTACTATAAACCCAATGGCTCCTCCAGCAGTACCAGCTCTATTACCAATGAAATTAGAAGCAGCAATGAACAAAAGTAAGTGTGCACAATGATCCACCTCCAAATATAATGCACCACCTATGGTTGTAGCAGAATTATTTATAAACTGATTACTGGCAATTGCAATGATATTATTATTATTATAAGGAGTATATTGAAGTATGCTTAGGCCTCCTCCTGTTACGTTTGATTCCTCAGCTCTTGAATGCTTTATACCATTGTTTGTAAAAACATTTTGTGTTACATTTCCACAGCAGTTTTCATAGAGTACCAGCCCATAACCATTATTGTCACTGAAATTGATTTTTGAAATATTAAAATTCTTGCAATTATAGAAGAGAACACTTTGGCGTCTATGATATTTTGGTTCTTTTTTATAAAGCAACCCACAATGTTCAATAGTAAAACCAATGAGTATAACATTACTGCAATTATTAAAAACTATGCCAGAGTTACCATAAGGTATTGATCCATTCCTACAGCTAATGCTAGTACCTTGTCCATTGATAGTTAGTCCATTGATATCAGTGAATATAACACTACCTTGTAGACTAAGAGTAGGACTGATGATCTCTATTGTGAGGCTACCAGTGTTGTTAATAGTATCAGCTACATACTTCAATGACTGACAGGAAGACTGAGGCTGTTCTGTAAGACACTCAATTGAATCATTTCCATTATCTCCATCAATCCTGATATCAAGAGATGATACACTATGAAGAAGAATACACAGCAGGAGAATCATCACAGATGAGTTAGCTTGTGGACTAAACAAAAGCTTGACAAAAGTAATGAACAAAGATTCTTAGTTATAATCAGTTCCTATGGAAAGTAGTTTCCCTATATCAGTTGACACTTTCTGAGAGCATCACAATGATAACACTATAGACCCTCTAACAACAAACAGTATTCAAGATGTTATTGCTCATGATATTTCTATATAATAAATACCATTGTTGTTATAAACTATAAGAATTGTTGCTCTGAAAATAAAACTGTTACCCTATTGATATCTTACTTTCTTCGGTTTCAGTTCTTTGTTAACAGTTATGGCAATATTCATGCAATAAATTTGCATTTGGATATGAACAGGCTGACATGTAGATGTAAAGCTATCATGTACAAAAATTTCATTTTATCTTAAAAAATTAGTTCCACCCAATAAATTTTAATTGAACTTTAACTATGAATTAAGTATCAGTATAAAATCATTATTGCTTGTGATGTGATCATAATTTTTACAATCAATTAAGGTTATTATTAGTTATTACTAGATGTATTACTCATTATCATCATTTTCATTATTATTAATTTAAGGGTGCTGCACCACCGCCCACGCAAATTTTTTAATCTGTTGCTAAGGGAGCTGTTTCTCCCAAAGTACTTTACCAATCATAATGAAACCAGTACTAGTTACAAGACAGTAACTAAATAAGTTAGTAAGCTACCTTGGAGCCTTTAACTCATAATAGCTATGGCATCAAGAGCTAAAATACTAAAGAT